CTCGAAGTTATCCAAAAGCAAGGTACAAATATTCCACCTTTGTACATCGATGTATATATATGTTGTATTGAATTGAACAGCAGACAATGTAACCAAATAAAGCTGCACCATAAATGAATAAAACTCTCGATGATATTCAGATGTTCTCTGGTCAAAAGCTAGTACAAAATAGAAGTCTACTCGTTCATATTGTACTCAACATCACTCATCGTTCATTGGTTGACCACACTCGCACGTGACACGGCTAAACATTGTTCCTCTTTTAGGCCACCTAATGTAGATCTAAGCATTGAAGCTGCGGAGCAAACATCTCCAATCTCTAATTCTTTATTCGAAGAACACCAGTGACACGAGCGAGTGCATTCTCCATGTTGATTAATTAAATATTACAACAAATCCACCAAACCTTTAGCTTGTCGAAGCTTCACCTACCTACATACCTCGGTCTACACAAACACAAAAGCTCCACATCTCTCCGAGCGCACGAGCAGCTGCTCGCGCAGCTCCGCTGAAATGCAATTATTACGACTCCTGGTCACACTAGCTGTAGTGCTATTCTCAGTTGTTGTAATCGCTGCCGAGGATTACTACAAGGTGCTTGGTCTCGCGAAGTCCGCGTCGGAGAGGGACATCAAGCGCGCATACAGAACACTAAGCAAGAAATACCACCCTGACAAGAATCCGTGAGTGGAGCTACTATTCTCTTATTTCTATTTTTCTATGCTTTCATTTCTCTACGTGGCCCCGCACATTACACTCGCACAAGGCAATTGCTAACCTTCCTCGCAGCGGCGATGACACGGCGCGCGAAAAATTTGTCGAAATAGCAGACGCCTACGATGTGCTCTCGACCACCACGCTGCGCAAAGTGTACGACCAATATGGCCACGAAGGGGTGGAGCAGCACCGCAAAGGCGGAGCGGCCGGCGGCGGCGGCCACGATCCATTCGATCTGTTTTCGCGATTCTTCGGCGGGGGCGGACACTCCGGCCACGCGCCTGGACACCGCCGCGGACCGGACATGGAAGTACGAGCGGCGCTACCGCTGCGGGATTTCTACAATGGGCGCGAGATCAACTTCCTTGTCGAGAAGCAGCAGATTTGCGATTCGTGCGAGGGAACGGGATCCAAGGATCGACAGGTTGTGACTTGTGATCGGTGCGCAGGGCGTGGTATCGTTATTCAGAAACATATGCTTGCGCCGGGGATGTTCCAGCAGGTGCAGATGCAGTGTGACAAGTGTCATGGGCAGGGGAAGAAGATTAAGAATCCTTGTCCTGTTTGTGAGGGGAATCGGGTCGTTAGGAATCAGGTTGAGACTAGTGCTACTATTGAGCCGGGGATGGGGAAGGGGACTAGGCTTGTTTTTGAGAATGAAGCTGATGAGAGTCCGGACTGGGTTGCTGGAGATTTGATTGTTGTTTTGGATGAGAAAGAGCCCGAGCTTGGAGAGTCGGAGGAGGAGAGGACAGATGGGACGTTCTTCCGGCGGAAGGGGAAGGATCTGTTCTGGAAGGAGAGTCTTTCGCTGCGCGAGGCGTGGATGGGTGACTGGAGTCGCAATCTTACGCATCTTGATGGGCACATTGTTCGTCTTGGACGTGGTCGTGGTGAGGTCGTGCAGCCATTGGCTGTCGAGACTATTGCCGGGGAGGGCATGCCGCATTACTCCGAGGGTCATTTACATGATCACCATGAAGAGAATGATGAAGCGGGCAATCTGTTTATTGAGTATACTGTTGTCCTGCCAGATCAGATGGAGAGTGGGATGGAGAAGGACTTCCATGCTCTTTGGGAGAAGTGGCGCAAGAAGATTGGAGTTGATTTGGCGGAGGATTCTGGGCGACCGGTTGTGCCTCCGCCGGCGGAGGATAAGGATGAGCTGTGATGATTGCGTTTCCAAGCCTTGTTCATTTTTGATTCCCTTTTCTTTCTATGGTCATTGTATATTGATTGCATCTGTTGATTTGCGTGCATTTTACGGCTATGGGCTGGATTAGATTAGACCCTTGACTTGTATTAAAATGTTGGATATGATACACAATAGACACGGCCTGAATCCTACAAGCTAGGGGTCTGCTTTTTTTGATTTGAAATAAAATTGAAGACAATCCAATTGGACCATTGGTTTGAACTTTGTCGTCATACGTGACTCAATTTAAAGCCAAAGTTCTTCTACAGACTTCTCGCTTCAATCAATACACGTGGGGCGACGAGGATACTGTTCATGCCGCCTTAATGCCAGATGGAGATCGACGATCTGGAAGATCCGGCCGGGACACAGTTCTATACCCAATGCACGAGACTCCAGATTCTGATTCTACCTGACACTGTTTGGTCGCGATGCATACCCCTCGCATGAGGGGTTTTGTGGCGCAGGACGTAAACAAAGAAAGGCGTACAGCGCATAGATCTATGGCGATGGTCTAACTGGAATAGGCCTTGAATGACAGGGGTATAGGACAGGGGTTGGAGGTTGTAGCGAATGAGCTTAGTTTACCTTGGACTACACAAATTTCACTTCCTTGACCGTCATTTCATGTTCGTGTTCAATGTGACTGATATCAATGTGTCGGATGTTCGTTTGAAGGTTCGGCTAGGTGCTCTCTCCATGTGCAAGCATCCACTTCGCGGGTACAGGCTCTGTTTGGGCTTTGGAGAGTTGGCTGTTCCTATTTATTGCATCAGATTTGGGTTATTTTATAAACTTCCTTAGTCTAATTCCGTGGGCCCCATTTTATGCCCTATGTGTTGTTGCTTTGGGGACATCTTCAGGACGGGTTTCAATAAGGACCGAAACATACATTGTCCCTTCACTAACACAATAGACCTGGGATCTCTGATTTAGTATCCATATCCCCTTAGTACTCCATGGAAACACGCCAAACGGGTCAGGGATGGGAATAAAGTGTAATCAATCTGTCAAAGTTTCGCCCGTAAAGCCAAAAGTTGAAACGATTGAGAATTCTCCACAAGCCTCATCCCGCCCTATGCGAAGTAAATATCCCTAAAAACCAGCTACAAAACCCGAGATTTCAACCTATCGGATGGCCTTACAATATAGGCAAGGATAGACACCACCACCTCGTACGAACTACCTGAGGATCTACAAACCTTAGGTAGACTAGATTAGACTACAACACACAGTTCGTGCCATCTGATAGGGCTAGTGAATGGTTTGCCAGCATCGTATTCCAAGCTGCAGTCCCAGCCTCTAACTTGGTGGGTCTATATGTACCCCGTATGGCGGTTGTCGTATGCGTATGCATCATGCCCTATCTTTAATTTGGGAAAACCCACTATATGCAATGAGACTAAATGGGGAAAATATCCAATGCATACTGTTCACGTTGAGGAGAAGGCGCCTAGATGCAGCTATAAACAGACTTTGGTGAGACTGATGGATGGCACGCGGATTCGGAATCTAGGCCGGACAGACGCGGTTTGCCTTCGGATAGTATCATAGTACGATAGGAAATGCAAAGGGTCGCATACGGAAGCACTAGTGACAATACCGTCAGAAAAGGATTGGTCAATCACGTCGATATATCCAAAGTTTGATGGATTCAAATGCGTTGTAGCATCTCTTTTCGTGGAGCGGCGTGTAGCGTGCATAGTGCATCAAAGAAAGCTACGGATATTGCTTCAAAAGCTCCAGTTGTGGAGCTCGTGGACCACGGAATTATGTTCTTTGCCCACACTGCCGTGTGTTATCTCTTTTCTTAACTAGTAAAACCCAAGGGGCTGGCTGAGGGGGTTCAAACAGATACATCGGCTATAGCGGGTTGCGGTGTAGGATTGTGGTGATTTACGATCTAATATAACCATTTGATTTATTATATCATGCTTCAACTTAGTACTTTGATAGACTTTCAATTTTTTAAAGGGTATAGTACAGAATAGGGTTGTGCTAGCTCCCTAAAGTCAAAGTAGATTAGATCCATCAACTTATACCCATCTTGCCTTTTTGTGAACGATAAACTGTACAGCTTTGAATAGACGAAGGGTCTCACTATAATGATGAATGCTGTGTATGTTATAAGTACATTTTAACCCGGGGCTGATCTCCTGCAGAAATACAGGGAAAATATGCTGTAAGACGGCTTAATATTCCACAGAAGTTTCTAGGGCAAACGGGCGAATGGCAATCTCATATCTATACAGTCCTAGTATCAGGATAACCAATCAGCAGTGCATATTTTAGCGTTTCAACGCAAGAAAAGAACTAAATGCCGAATTTGATAGCGATCGACATACGTTAGCCTACAGGCTCTGGTAACGGCAATGCATAGACCTAGCGTCTAGGATTTGATTTGATGGCCTTGCATCCGACCTATTGGTTCGGTAGTACTCTAAGGTTCGTATATATGTAACCATCTATATCTGGAAATATGTATATACGCCCATTATTGGTATAGGAAACTGATGGTATTCATAGGACAATGGTTCGCTTAAGATAGCATCACAAATATATCATACTTACCAAAATACATCTATGTGTAGGCCAATCATGCCTATAGATAGCATAGATTTGCGGTTCACTGGTAAAAGTACATACAAAAGTACATATAGGAATAGCAAGCATGAAAGCCCTTGATTTTCCAAATATACCAACAAGCGTGCTATCCACTATTTCAATGAACGCAGCTAAAATAGGAAACCCGCGAAATCAGTAAAAATTCGTACCCACCAGCCAGACTGCCAATCTCGGGTTTCCAATGGTGCTTTTAGCTCCCTCGTATGCCTTCATTGGTGTGGTTCCGCATCGAGGTTGATATATGAAGAGGAGGTATGGGGTCTTGTTTGCTATCAAAATTCTCTTTCGTCTCAATCATCAGTTATCTTATATTCTCACTCTATCTTTACTTGATCTCTTACCCCTTCAGTGTTCATACCTTCTTGTTTATCCTTCTTCCTCATACCTCACTCTTCGTCTACCTTCCATCTCTTCTAGACCCGGACCTATTGCTATATCAACGATCTCTTATTTGCATCGGAAGATGCGTCCCCTCTCGCTGAAGACAGGCTCCAGTGGCGATGGAGCCATGCCTTCTGATGCTCTGGAACCCATCGCTATCATTGGCCTAGCCACCCACTTTCCAAAGCAAGCAACAACCACTGAGGGTCTGTGGGAGCTTCTCCTACAGGCCCGCTCGACGTGGTCATCGATACCCAAAGAACGCTTCAACTCAGATGCCTTCTATCATCCAGATCCCGAGCATGGTGGAACGGTAAGTCATACCCGAGCTATGACAGGCCAACATCAACATGAAAAATCTGTTAACAGATATCTGTCTAGTTTCATGTCCAAGGAGGTCACTACCTCTCAGAAGACCCCGCCTACTTCGATGGCTCCTTCTTCAATATTACCAAGAATGAGCTCCTGACATTGGATCCGCAGCAGCGGCTGGTACTCGAAAATGTCTACCACGCCTTGGAAAATGCTGGCATTCCATTGACCAGTGCTGTTGGCTCTAACACATCTGTTTTTGTTAGTGGATTCAACCATGACTACCTGGGTATCCTCAATTCAGACCCAGAAACCACTTTAAAATACAAACCCACAGGTGTCACCAATGCTATTCTGTCTAACCGTGTCAGTTGGTTCTTTGACTTCAAAGGACCCAGCATGACCATTGATACGGCTTGTTCTAGTAGCTTGGTGGCGCTGCACCTCGCTGTACAGAGCTTACGTGTCAACGAGACAAATATGGTATGTTAGCTTGTGTTTATATTGATACTATCATGATAATATACTGATAACGGTTAAGGCTGTCGTCAGTGGTGTGAGCATTCTTGAAAACCCCGTGGAAACCATCGGCATGAGCCACCATGGTTTGTTGGGACCTCAAGGGCGATCTTTCAGCTTCGACTCCCGTGCCGAAGGCTATGCGCGAGGCGAAGGCGTGGGCACAGTTGTAGTGAAGCCTTTGAGTGTCGCTATCAGAGACGGAGATACCATCCGTGCGGTCATTCGAGAGACGGGAGTCAACCAGGATGGCCGCACGCCAGGGATCACAGTTCCCAGCGCAGATGCCCAAGAAAGACTAATCCGTGAGGTCTACTGGAGAGCCGGCCTGGATCTCGAACACACAAGATTCGTTGAAGCCCATGGCACGGGAACAAGCACCGGTGACCCTATCGAAGCGGGCGCTCTTGCAAGAGCATTCAAATGTCGCCGAGAGACTCCGCTTTACGTCGGGGCGATCAAATCTTCCATTGGGCATCTGGAAGGTGGCTCAGGTGTGGCAAGCCTCATCAAATCTATTCTAATACTTGAGTCTGGGATTATACCTGCAAACTTTGATATGACGCAGACAAATTCCTCCATTCCTGCAACTGAGTACGATATTGCATTCCCTACCGAGGCACTTCCATGGCCATCTCCGGGGCTGCGAAGAGTGTCAGTCAACTCATTTGGAATTGGTGGCACCAATGCTCACTGCATCCTTGATGACGCCTACCACTATCTGAATGACCACCGCATTACAGGCGCCCACCGCACCACATCCACTGTTCCTACAACACAGAAAATCAACAGCCAGCTCTTGGCCCTGTGTCGAACAGGAACGGAATCAAATCATTTCGTGACGGATTCATTCGATGACAGCGATCACTCTGGACATGGTAATACCTTTATGGACACACCCACAAGCGATGGCTTTTGTGAATCACCAACATTCGCATCATCCACTTACACTAGCTTGATCGAAAAACCAAAGCTGTTCTTACTCTCGGCTTTCGACGAAGAGGGCGTCAAGCGGAACGCAGCTGAATTAGCCAAGTACTTGAACCGAAGAATGATGAAGTCAGTTCTGCATGACTATCTCCTTGATGACCTGTCCTTCACCCTGTCGAAGAAACGATCCCAGTTTCCCTGGAGGAGCTTCGTCATGGCATCCTCAGTCAAAGAACTCGCATGGAACCTGTCAGAAGCGAATTTTGCCAAGCCAATTAGAACCGCCAGAGTTCCAGAGGTTGAATTTGTTTTCACTGGCCAAGGAGCTCAGTATCAGGCTATGGGCCGAGAGCTCATGGTCTATCCTGTATTTCAAGAGTCCGTGGAGGAAGCATCGGACTATATCCGTCGGCTCGGTAGTCCGTGGTCGCTACTTGGTAACCATTTGCTTGCCTCTTTTGTCTAATGTGCTTGACTAACGTATCACAGACGAACTCTTGACTGAAAGACAGTCACCCCGAGTCAACTTGCCTGAGATAGCTCATCCGCTGTGCACAGTCTTGCAAATTGCGCTCGTGGATCTCCTGGCCAGTTGGGAAATCTTCCCAACTGGCGTAACGGGTCACTCATCCGGCGAGATAGCCGCCGCTTACTGCTCTGGCAAGCTGTCCCGCGAAGGTGCCTGGAAGGTTGCATACTATCGTGGATACGTATCATCCAAACAGCTTTCCGCAAATGGAGCTATGATGGCCGTGGGTCTGGATACATCGCAACTGCAACCCTATCTGGACTCTGTGAGGAAGGAAAACGCCGGGGAGCTCATCATCGCCTGTCGCAACAGTCCCAAAAACAACACCGTGTCTGGAGACGAAGCTATGATCGACTGCCTCAAGAGTCTTCTCGATGCCGATGCCATCTTTGCTCGAAAGTTGAACGTCAAGAATGCTTATCACTCGGCCCACATGCATGCGATCGCTCAGGATTACCTTAGTCTGATGGGAATGCTTTCTTTTGGAAGGCGACTGGCAGCTCCGCATCAAGTGCATATGTTTTCCACCGTCACAGGACAACAAGTCCAAGAGGAACATCTGCCTGCACAATACTGGGTGGACAATATGGTTTCTCCTGTTCTTTTCACAAGCGGGTTGGTTGCAATGACCTCAAACCAAATTTCCAGTCATGACTCGATCGATTCCACGGATTCTCTGCGCCTTATCGTGGAAATAGGGCCTCACACAACCCTTCAGAGTGCCATCAAAGAGACATTGGCCTCGAAGAGCCCCAAGTTGGAATTCAAGTACCTAGCCGTTCTCAAACGGACAGATCACAGCCTCAACACTCTACTAACTACAGTCGGCTTCCTAGGTTCAAGTGGATGTGAGCTAGATCTTCATGCTGTGAACCAAGCTTCTTGCTTCAAGGCAAGAAGACGGCCCAGACTGTTGGTGGACCTGCCGCCATACAGCTTCAAGCATACCGAGAAGATTTTATTTGAGTCTCGACTGAGCAAGAATCTGCGAACTCGAAAGTTCCCTCGTCATGATCTCTTCGGTGCACCTATCACGGATTGGAATCCTGCAGCCCCAAGATGGAGACATTTTGTCCGATTGAACGAAAACCCTTGGTTAAGGGATCATATGGTAAGTTCGAAGTTGTCTCCAAAATAGCCTCACTTATTGACACAGCCTAGGTCACTGGAAATTATGTCTATCCTGGTGTGGGTTATTTGATCATGGCAATTGAAGCATCGAGGCAGTTGGTCGGCGAGGCAAAGGTCATTGGTTTCCAACTACGAAAAGTTAACATCCGAAGAGCCTTGATTGTACCCGATACCAAAGAAGGAATTGAGGTTTCCTTGGCAATGGCAACTGTCGAAGACTCGTCATCGTCGCGAACGTGGAGGCGATTCCAGATAACTTCCTACAATGTATCGAGCGACCAGTGGACAGAACATTGCACTGGTTACATCACCGTCGACCACGAAACAGCTTCCGATCCAATTGACAATGGCCGCGAAGCAGAAGAAGAAAGCCGAGCATTGGAATCCGAACTTTTCTGCGCAAACGAGACATGCGCAAAATCCATGGCTTTCAAATCCACATACAACAACCTCCAAACATCCGGCCTCAATTTTGGTCCTTTGTTCCGAAACCTCGGAGACGTTCGCGCAAGTGCCAGTGGACTTGGTAAGGTTGTTGGATCAGTTACAGTCCCGGACATTGCACAGTCTATGCCAAAGCAGTATCTACATTCTCATCTCATCCACCCTGCCACAATGGATAGCATGATCCACTTGATGATCGCGGCTGTTCTCGACTTTACCGGAAAGTCCACCCTGGACCAGATCAGATTGCCGACTTTCATACGCAATGTCTGGGTATCAGCAGATTTGAATTCAGCCCCAGCCCACAAATTCACAGGACATGCAACCGTGTCTATGGTGGGATCTGATAAATTTGAGGGCCAAATTCAAATGCTGGATGAGGAAACAAACACACTTCGCATCCGCATGGACGGTATTGAGCTCACTCCACTGGAGTCTGGTCTTGCTGAAAGTAGTGAGCGAAAATTGTGCAGCGCAATTGAATACAAGCCCGACCTCCATTTCATCGACTCAAAATCCGCCTGTGCACTAACTTCTCTCAATGCTACCGATGACACTGAGGCTTTGTACTGGGTGAAGCGTCTTCAGCTTGCAACGATGCTCTACGTCATGGATGCACTGGACGAGCTCAAGGATATTGATGTTATGAAACTCGATTTGCACATGCGAAGATTCTTTGACTGGATGGAGCATATGCAAGGATTGCTCGAGCGCAATGAAATAATACATCTGCCCTACAGCGAATTCCAGTGCGCTTTTCAAGACGAGGCTCTCAAGGAAGCCATTGGCAAGGAAATCGAGGCTCACAGCGCCGAAGGCGCCATCACAGCCCGAATGGGCCGCAATATTGCTCAAGTCGTGCGCCAGGAGACTAATCCTCTGCATCTCATGTTTGGTCAAGACGCTGTGATGGAACAGGTGTACAAGGAAGGCCTTCACTTGTATAACCTGCCGCAGCATCTACAGAGCCACTTGTCTCTCCTCCGGCACCAGCATTCCGAGCTGAACATTCTCGAGATTGGTGGTGGCACCGGCAGCTTCACTGCTGAAGTCCTGGCCGTCCTTTCTCCAGACCTTGCGAAGAACAAAGGAAGCATTGCCAGTTACACATTCACCGACATTTCATCCGGCTTCTTCGAGAAAGCAAAACAGCGTTTCCAAGCATGGTCCGACATCATGAACTTCCAATCGCTTAATATCGAGCGAAGCCCTGTCGATCAGGGACTTCAGCTAGGGACATATGACTTAATATTCGCTGGCAATGTCATCCACGCTACTGCAAACTTGCAGAACGCATTGCAGAACCTGCGATCTCTATTGAAGCCGGGTGGTCAGCTCATCATGCAGGAAGGAATCCGACAAGACTTCCTGTGGTACCCACTTGTTTTCGGTCAGCTTCCAGGGTGGTGGCTAGGCGATGAGCCATGTCGCCAGTGGTGTCCCTACATCCCGGCCGAAGAATGGAATCCTCTGCTGCTGAAAGCGGGATTCTCGGGAATTGATGTCGAGTATCCCAGTTCGAACGATCCAGATTTGACATGGCAGAGTATTCTGGTTTCTTCTGCCATCGAAACACCCAAGGAGAAGTCATCTAATACTGCGGTTATCTTGACGTTCGGTACATTGAGAGCCGAACAAGTCATTGAAGACCTCCAAGGACTTCTGCCGGAATTGGGATACACGAATATCCTTGTTAAGGAGCCTGCAGATGTGAAAAATTACATCCTGCCTGATGCACTTTGCGTGTCATTGATGGACTTGGAGTCTCCTTACCTGTTCGATATGAACGAAGCGGAATACCACACACTCAAGAAGATGCTCAGCGAGTGCCAAAATCTATTGTGGGTGACATGCAATCCTCTCACACAGCCACACGCAAGTATGAGTATTGGTCTTCTCCGAACAGTGCGCTGGGAGCGGGATGCCGATGGCTCAAATATCGTCACCCTGACAGAGGCGGAGCCTGACATCACTTTGCCAAAGAGCCTTGCTACAGCTATCGGCAAGATTGTCCAGCGGCAATTTGTGGATAAACCGGAGAAGGATCGCCACGCCGAGTACATGTTGCAGAATGGTCTCATACACATTGGCCGTTTGAACAAGTGGGAGGCGGCAGATCAGTTTCTTGCTGCACAATCCTCTCAGCAAGCTCCTCAACTTCAACGCCTCGGTGATTATGATCATCCCATTGAGTTGCAGGAGACTGCTGTTAGTACCAGCGAATACCACTGGGTCATAGATAAGGAGCATGAGAAACCGCAAAAAGACACCGAGGTCGAGATTGAGATTCGAGCAATTGGTCTCTCTTCGAATGTTTATGCCGACCGCCTCGCGAATGAGATTGCTGGTGTTGTGACCAAGGTTGGGCCTGAAGTCGAAGGCCCGGCCCCGGGTGACAGAGTCATTTACATCTCAGGCGACAAAAAGGGTGGTTGTATCCGAACACATGGTCGAGCTGACCAAATGCAGCTCGTGAAGATCCCCGATGAGATTTCGTTCGAAGTCGCGGCCGGTTTGGCTTGGGCATACGCGACAGCAATCCAAGGACTCGGGGAGATAGCACATCTGGCAACCGAAAACACTATCCTGATCCATACCAGTGTAACGGATATCAGTCAAGCGGCCATTCAATATGCCCAGATGATCGGAGCTACAATCTACGCCACTGTAGCAACCGTTGAAGAACGTGATTTGCTTGTCTCTGATCACGGTATATCTCAAGACCGTATCTTTTCCAGGAGAGATCTGAGCTTCGTCAAGGGTATTATGCGGTGCACACACAATACTGGGGTTGACGTCGTCTTCAACGCACTGAGCGGAGAGGCACTCCGGGGGTCAACGGCATGCCTCGCTCCATTTGGAGCATTTGTTGATGTGTCGAATCTAGATCTGCGGTCTGATACCACAATTGAGCTGGCCTCTTTACCTCGCAATGTGAGCGTCCACACCGTCGACATTCCTTTACTGGCTCAACATCGACCAAAATCGGTCCGTCTTCTGCTCATCGAGGCACTGAGACTGTACTCCGCAAATAAGATCGGTCAACTCCACACAACTGTCATGGACTTTACTCGGATCAAAGAGGGTATTCAAACTGCGCATAGCGGAGAAGCAGTAAAAGTTGTGATTGCACCTGATCCGTCCAACATGGTCCCTATGGTCCCACGACCTCTCCAGCCTTGTCACTTTGACCCACGCGCCTCGTACGTTCTTGCCGGTGGCTACGGCGGCTTAGGCCGCAGTTTAGCACGATGTATGGCATCTCGTGGTGCGAAGAGCCTGATTATCCTATCTCGCTCATCAGCTTCAAGCCCAGAGAAGATGGAATTGATTGCCGATCTCGACAGAATGGGATGCAAGGTCCATTCACTGATCTGCGATGTGGCCGATCTCTCCAACCTCCAACAATTATCCAGAGCAGCCTTTTCCAACCTACCGGCTATCAAAGGATGCATCCAAGCATCTATGGTCCTGCGGGTAAGTCCCCGGTCCTCACTCCTCGGTACTAAATATACACAAACTAACATATTCCCAGGATGGCGCCTTCGCCGGACTCTCTTTCGATGACTGGAAAGCAGCCATTAGACCCAAAGTCCAAGGTTCCTGGAACCTGCACACAGTCCTACCGGACAACATGGACTTCTTCATTATGCTCTCCTCAGTCGCAGGCATCTTCGGCAACCGCGGGCAGTCAAATTACGCCGCAGGCAATACCTTCCAAGACGCACTTGCCGCATACCGTGTTTCGAAAGGCATGCACGCAGCTAGCATCAACCTAGGCAGTGTATCGAACGTGGGCTGGGTAGCCGAGAACCGAAACTCGATGCGCACGCACACAGCCACGTTATTCGAGCTTTTGCGCGAAGAAGAGGTCCACGCAACGGTTGACTTCCTTATCCGCGACCAGCAAGACGGTGGAAATGAATCATCGCGCTCACAGCTCATCCTCGGTCTGCCGACCGCGGAGATGTGTCGCCAGAACGGAGTGCCACTGCCTACGTACCTGAATTACTCGATGTTCACGCACTTCCGTAACACGGCGACTGCGAAGAGCAGTGAGGTGTCTCAACAGAAGACTGTCAGCACTGCTGCGCTTTTGTCGGCGGCTTCTGGCTTCGAGAGTGCTGTCGTTGTTGTGTCAGATGGGATTGTTGAGAGACTTGCTTCGCTGCTTGCCATTCCTTGTTCCGAACTCGATGCACAGCGCTTCAGCTTTGGCGGCATTGACTCCCTTGTTGCTATGGAGTTCCGCGCGTGGATCGTCAAGGAGCTTAAGGCTGAGGTTTCTTTGCTTGATATTATGGGAGCGGAGAATATTAGGGCTTTGAGTGAGAAGATTGCCGGCAGGAGTCGTTTAATTGGAGGGTCTGGTGCTTAATTTTCCGAGTGACTTTCTTATCTTTTTTTCACTTTTACGAATCTTCTGGGGATTATCTTTCGATACTGATTTGCGTTGAGCTCTCATGGTTTATTGATTTCACGTCTGATGCCCCGTTACGAGATATGATCATGCTGTATCTTTCTCTTAGGACATTTTTCCAGTCTCTTTTTGGTTCATACACTTTAAGACTAGATTCATTAACAGAATGGCTATGCAACATTTCTACACAGTTTACATCGGAAAAGATTTAAAGATTTGATAAGTGCGATACTTCAATTTTGTCCACCTGAGTCACTCTTTGCGAATCCATTTCGACATATTAATAGTAGGAAGATGCCATGCTTGCATTAAAGAAAAATAGCTCATCGAAACCCTAAACCTTCCATCCGTTATTCATTATATTCGTCAACACCTACCGTGCAGACCCGGAGGGGAAATAACCCCGTAAGCCCTGTCCAGGAAATGTACAAACAGCCAACTTGGGCTCAGCCCCGGATCGCTCATGATGCCACGCACGCTCACGTAGGGCCAAATAAACCGAGCGGAACGGCTGGAGGTCGCCAGGTAGTCGAGCAGGCGGTTTACGAGGATCGAAGCCCAGCTGCTGAAGTTGCGCCTCACACCAATGCAGGGTGTCCGCCGGTAGATATTGCTCTATGTCGTAGTCGGTGTAATTCTGTTGCATGGCCTGCAGCGTCGCGACGTCGGCTGCGAGGCCAAAGTTCTCTACGCCCTTGGGCGGGTGGTGGTAGTTCATATAAGGTTTTCCAGGGGCGCGCTCTGGATGGTCTGCTTGTTTGCGAATGTTGTGGATGTTCCAAGTTTGGACGTATGATTTGATGTGGGAGCGGAGAGTGGGCATGTAGATTGCGAAGAGGGCAACCTGTTCAGGGATTAATGTTGATGAGAAGAGGCCTTCGTTGTGAAGTTCGCGGAAATAGTTCTAGTTGAGGTCAGTATTCTGCGAATAGGTGTAGGATAAACCTGCCAAAGTTGACTGACATGGTATAGTGTTACTACTGATTTAGCAAGCTGGGCCCACCAAGATTCAATCCGGTGGGTATCTGTGGCACGTCCGGGCGCGCAGCATTGCTCACGCAGGACATCCGGCTCAGTGACGCGACGGAGTGCAAAGTGAGCATCGGCTAAAAGGGGGACCTCAGACTCGAGGTCAGATCGAAGAGTCCGTGGTTGGCGATTTTTAGAAGCAACAGTCTCAAGATGGTTTTTGAGAACACCCACGGCCGTGTGCGCATCCACGCCAACATGAATCCAGAGAACATATCGAGAATAAGAATCGAGCTCAGCAAAAATGCGGAACCCGAAATTGGCCAGCTTTGAGTACCCATTCACGTGCCAGGTCAGATTAGGCCCGGCTAGAATCTTTGGCGGGGGAGGACGCCGGGGCACATCACTGGTGCGGCGTTCAACTGTATCCGGGCGCAGCATGCGGTAGACACTATAGAGACGATCGCGGGCAAATACATGCCCCTTGCTTCGGAAGTGGTTGTGCAATAGTTCCTTTCCGTACCCCTCAATGGTCCCCTTGTCCATTTCCTCGGTCAGGGCGTCGAGGATCTCCTGAACCTGTGCTTGTTGTTGTGCAGGCGAGTCGAGGCGGAGACGGATGCCGAGCTGGTGACGAAGTCTGCGGAGTGTGCGGTGGGAGACCTCATAACCCTCATCGTGTAGAACGGTGACGATCTCTTGGTCGGACAAGCCCACGTCGAAGAAAAGATTTTTGATGCGGGCGTGAAGCGCTTCATTGGAGGAGTTGTTCTCCATCTTTTTCTTGACGCCCCATAGCTGTAGGCGTTTGGTCAGAGTACGCGACGATATCTGAATATCATGCTGCCTCTTCAGGTGCTTGCAAATGTCGTCACCTTTCATTTTCTTTTCGAACAGGCCGATGATTTCGGCTTTGTACGGCTCGAGATCCACCCGAGGACGACCTGACATTTTACTTGGCGTATCAACTGGATTCTCCATTTTGCGAATTCAGACCAACTAATGTTGATAAGAATTAGCCTGGAGAAGATGTTCGTGGCTGGGGAAATGCCGGCGGTGTGTTGAGACCTACCGGCAGAAATCGACCGCCTTGATTTTTTTGTTATCGCAGCAGCTCTTCTCGAGAAACAACGTCCTCGCTCTGCTCAGTCATTCTCGATATATTTTTCGGTTTAATCTTGTACTACCGATACGGGCTTCACAATGGTCCGTGAACTCAAGCACCATGAGAAGAAGTACGTCCGCACCTATAATTAATTACCCGCGCAGAAATCTCATTCCGATCCCATCCAACATTTTGAAAGCTTCAAGATACCACAAAAGATCAAAAGCTAACACTGAAACCCCTGCAGACTTCTCCGGAAGGTCGACTTCCACAACTACAAGTCAGACGGCAATCACCGCGAACATGAAATTCGGCAACGATACCTTCTCCAAGACCCAATGGACTACCGCAAATACAACGCGCTCTGCGGTTCTCTGCGTCAGCTCGCACACAAGCTCTCTCAACTAGACCCGGACGCGGACCCGCTGCGCAAGAAGCTCGAATCCGAGTTGCTGGAGAAGCTATGGCGGATGGGAATCCTGAAGCAGTCCCGCGAGCAGGGCGCCGGTTTGTCCAAGGTTGAGCGCGATGTTACAGTTTCCGCACTGTGCCGTCGTCGATTGGCTGTCTTCATGGTGCGCTCTGGCATGGTTGAGACTATTAAGGCTGTAAGTTGCGTGGGGATTTGGTTTGGGGTGGATTTATGCTGACGTTTGTTTCGCTAGGCTACTACTTTCATCGAGCAGGGCCATGTCCGTGTCGGTACGGAGGTCGTCAATGATCCTGCTTTCTTGGTTACCCGCAACATGGAGGACTTCGTCACCTGGGTTGATTCCAGTAAGATCAAGCGCAACATCTTGCGTTACCGTGAGAAGCTGGATGACTTTGATCTTCTATGATCGGCTCCGTTAAAAAAGCATTTTGGGTTTTTGTTCTGATATACCCGGCGCTTGTGCATTGTGGCCTGTTTAGGTTTGGCGTATTGATGTTTCATGAAATGATATCTCATGTCCAAAGTTCTCTGGATAACTCAATATGGATATGAATACTACCTATGTTCTCGAGAAACGTAGAGACCTGCAAGCGCTTATTGTGTCGTTCACCGAAGGTGCTCGCCTTCTATTCCCCGAGCTACCAGGATTTGATATTGAAGGTCATATGATGGCTCCACGTCACTTTCGCATCGTTGCCCATGCTATGCAAATGCGAAAACTAATCTTTTTGCTCTCTTGCTATCAGTCCACATCCATCTACGGAGTACGCAGGTGGGAAACCACCATTTTGAGGTAAACTTGGGCCCAATCCGAGTCTTCATCTTCTTGCCCACATCATCTCTAATCCCAGATTCCGGAACAGGAAAATAAATGTCTCTACTTCCACGATTCAGGCGTTGTTCGACTTAACGTATACTACTTTCACAATATTTCCTTCACTTGCGGCAGTTGAGGTCTATTGCGATACACGGGACGGCGAATCTCGAGTCTGGCACGACGTTAATAATGTTGACACAGATACAGAATATGGCTATTGAGTCAGATCGTATGTTGATTGGCTTACTCGGCCGGATTTGAGCTTGTTTGGTTTCCTCGCTTTTACCGCATCGAGAGCAACTCTCCGTGACGCAACTCACTTTACATCACCTCTCAATTCCATTATCATCACCATCATCACCATCATCATCACCATCATCTCTCACTCTGTTCCTCAGTCACCGATTGCCTATTCCCGTGGACACTCTATTCATGCGTAATGAACAAAGGGCAAGTGGCAGGGTGCTCAGGTGATGATCGGTGACGCTTAGGTAGTGAGCAAAGCATGATTATCTAGGTAATGAGCTGTTACCTTGAAAGTCAGGGTACTCCAGGGTACTCAGGTGCACAATTTTACTCAGTCGAAAAATGATAAGAGCTGAGCACTAGATCAAAAGGAGCAATGCTTCCAGTACCAGACATTATCTGTTACATAAGTACCGTATAAGGCTATGTACAGTGTTCCAATAATAATAAGGGTATATCAGGCTTCAAAAAATAACATGAGCAACGCAAGGAATGCAAAAGGGACTGGAAATAAAAATAGGCCAGAGGCTCCCGCGAAGAAAGAAGGTTGAACGGCGGGATGGGAACCACTGGATGCAAATGCAGATCATCACTCGGTGATCATGGTATCATAGGGAAAGCAGTTGAGGCAGGGTATGTTTGTGAGCAGCACCTGTGCAAGGCTCTGTGGGGGTAACAAGGGGGTAGTGATGGTTGAATTTAGGCATTAGGAAGAGGAGAAGACTTCGAACGAAGACACGTCCAACGTCTTCGAGCTCCATCAGGTGAATTTGAATTCAAGCTGGTTTTTCCCAAGAGCTCCAAGAGCTGGGCCTGCGGCTTTCCTTGAGAATCCGATTCCGGCTCTTCATCTTCGGGGATATCCATACGGAACCGACGCACGCTGCCTTCGCGCTCAGTCTTGCCTTCCTCGAAGAACGGGGTGCGCGAGTCGCGGGACTGGAAGCAGCGAGGCGCGACGCGGCGCCAGAGGCCCCGGACACCACTGCTCGCACGGTCAATCTTTTCATATTCACGCCGCCGGGTATCTGGTGAGGTCCATTCCATTACTGTCGCCGGGACGTGGATGGACGAGAACGATGGGCTGCGGTGGTGACTGCTGGGTAAGGTGTTTGATCGATCTCTTGATGTGACGAAGTGGGGTGCGCTCGTCGCGGTTGGTGAAGTGGGCTCTAGCCCGAAGCGGATGCTGGAATATGAAGGTCTGATTGGGGACGACGGTTCCGAGCTGCCTTTCTCTGTTGATATGCGACTCTCGCGTTGAGGCCTGTATGTAGCTGATGCTGTCCGGTATAGAGAAAGTCTTGTCTCGGTCGAGGATCTGTTCGATTCATCTTGAAACAGACGACATGACTCCCGGTGTAACGCTATCAGTGACTCGCGCTTATCCTGCATGGAACTGCGAGCTGAGGTGACAGACACGATGGCGGCGTTGGGCACAGCTCGGCGCGAATGTAAGGAACTGCGGCGGCTGTTTGGTCGCGATCGCACAGTACTGCGGGATGCCGAGCGGGAGTGACTGATGGAAGTAGATGTCGATGTTCGTGATTCTTGACGACCGAGCTCGTTTCCCGGTGGATCGATCCTTTTCACCTTGGCCATCTCAGATGGGGACTTAGGCGAGTCACATCCCTTGAGCTCTATGACAGTGGACTCGCACTTAGAAATAGACAGAGATGGCTGCAGGGCCAGACATGTGACGGAGGGCATTTCCCGTCGGGAAACTTCTGATCATATGCAAATATAGGCAGGTGCCCTGATTGCTCAGATGTATACATGTATCGAGGGGAAGTTCATGTGGATAAGATTAGGGGGTTAATATATATTTAAAGGAGAACACGACTGCATCTAGAACATAAAAGAGAAGGTAAATGGAACTCGACAAGCGAACCTCTTTCCTTTTATTAATCCAACATGCGCACACCGCTCCTCAACTATTTTAGCGGAGTGGGGGGGCGTCTAAAGATCGTCGCTTTGAGGGCGTCTAGCCAGTTACTACTTGCAGTTACAAATGCAGGGGCTTTATTGCGGGAGAGTATGGGGTAGGGGTAGGCTACGGTATTTTATAGTCGCAGTGCTAATAATATATGTAGATAGTAAGGCTATATAAGGGAAGACAGACTATCCGCAACATGGTCACATTGCTAATCTAGGAACCCTGTTTGCACGATTATAGTATTCGGTCAATAATCGAGGCCATATTAAATATACCAACTGCACTAACTGCACTAGTTAACTGCACTGACTGCCCTAATTAAGGAGAACTAACTATGTTGTACCCCGTACACTAACCTATGATAGACATCGCATCCTGCATGTGTGTTGGGACACCGCCAGACCCCCTAGTTTCAACAAGATCTACAAAAGACGGAGAATAAATAGCATATACTTTGAAGAGAATGTAATAAAAACTTGAAAGCGATTGTCTAAAATCATCTTTGACTTTGTTTAAAGAGAATAAAGGAACTCGGGGTTCTCTCGATCTGTCAAATCAAGGAATCTGCGGCAAAAGTTAGCAAAAGTTGGCAAACGTTAACTAATTAATCACTCACTCTTGGTTCTCTAGTCTCACATATTCTGGGTGAGCAATGAAAAGGATCTTCTTCTGGTTCTCACGACGATACCACATCCAGATCCCGACCAGCAGGAATAAACACACGCCCCAACAGACGATAATGGTCACCTCGGCGGGGACATAGCGGGGAGCGTCCTTCGGGCGGAAGGTTTGTGGACCTGGAAATTGTGTTAGCGTGTGCTCGCCACGTTTTTACCCCTGTCTTCTCCTTATTTTCTTACCGATGATATTTCCAACACAATATCCAATCAGATACAATGCAGCCACGGTAGTCTTCTTGGTATATCCCGCGACATTGGAAGAAATCAGCGATAGCAATGCCACGAAAGGGGTCGGACTGGCTTGTGTGAGGTAATAGCCAATCAAACGACCGACATTGTTAGATAGGGGCAGAGCGACAATGAGCAGCATCCCTACGATTGCAGCGACTAACCCACCCAAACTGGCGAGGATGCGCTGCCCGGTGATATGTCCGACATAGCCGTTGATCAATAGTGCAACGATTTCCACTGCGCCGCCGGGGACACCCAGAATCAGACTCTCCTTCGCGTTGTATCCGAAGCTTGTAATCTGGACTGTCAGCATGCTTGGAATCTTCAGGTCTTTATAAGCTATCATCGACATACCAACTGACTGAAGAAATTGGAAATACCCCCATTCGGAATATCGGCAATCAAGGCATAAAAGAAGAAAGCCCAGGTCATCGGATCTAAAAGCGCCTCCTTGACCTGATATAGCTTGAAGTGCTTATTACCAATGCCTTGTTGGTTGACCCGCACGCGGGCAACAGCCAAGATGCGATCTTCTTCATTTAACCAGCGTGCATTGAGTTGGTTATCTGGCACAATCCAGAGGAATACCAGTCCCAGGCAGATGGTGAGGAGACCAGTGACGAGGAAAATAATCTTCCATGGCTCGATGGCGGACCCGTGTTTCTCGGCACCGACGGCGATGCCGTAGGCGATTACTCCGCCGAGGATTTGGCCGACACCGTTGAAGCTGAACCAGATGTTGACGCGGCTGCCTTGTTCTTTTTTTGTGTACCACTGTTTGGGACTGTGTTAGCTCGACTCATTGTGTCTAGTTTATAGCCTGTAAGAACAGGGATGGATTTTGTACCTGGGAGGTTAAAAGTGCAAAGCCCGGCGTCACAGCTGCTTCAAATACACCGAGCATAAAGCGAATGGCGATAGCACCGGAGTAGTTGTTGACAGCGGCAAAACAGCTGAGAATCACTCCCCAGATCAAGATACAGGCTGCCGAATATTTCCCTAGTGGGAGGCGCTGGAGGAGGCGGTTGGTCGGGTATTCCCAGGCGAGATAACCTATGCAGGAGAGCTATTAGGCTTAAAGCTCCCGGGGAAGAATCAATTCGAGAGCAGAGATGGAACATACCAAAGTAGAACAAACTCCCGAGCCACTGATACTGGTCTCCCTCGAGATTCAAATCCTTCTTAAGACCCATAACACTGGCATAGGAGAGAGTGGTTTCTACACATCAGATCACAGATTAACACTTCAGATTGAATAAACAGCAAACAGAACAAAGCATAAAACCAAGACTGCTCTTTGCTGTAGGAAACAAAATCGAGGAAAGATATGCACATACTATCCAGATAATTCATGCCATAGATAAAACACATGATGGGCATCATATGCCAATCAATAATCTTTAACAAGCGGCGATTCGTAGCTTCATCCAGCTCGATAGTTTCACCGTGAAGATCGCCGAGGGCTTTCATAGCCTCATCGGCGTCGTGTGCATGCTTCTCTATCGTGGGGTCGACATGTTTTATGTTGCCCATGTCCATGCCGATGTCCACGCTAGAGGAAACTCCGATAGCTTTTTCCTCTGAGGCCATGGTGTCGGTTCTATGAGGTAGGTCGTAAAGGGACGGGGCAGTAGAGTAATTCAGATCAAGTAGGTCAGACAGACAAA